GGCTGGTTAGGTCTGGATCCAGAAGTATGGACCTTACTATTGGGTGGGGCCTACTTCAGGTTTGACTCACACTTAATTAGGTTTGGTCAGACTTGGCTGACCCGATATATCTATATACCATTTGTATTTTTATACAATGAAAATTGTATAATATTATAATATATGTATATGTTTGGGTGTGTTTTTAGACAGTTTCAAATAAGGAAATGGTCATATAGTCCTACACTCACAAAAGTCATGATAATGACTTCTGAATGAGCTAGAGCTTTGGATATAACCTTGAAACGGTAGTGTAGGTCTATATTCTGATAATCATAAATTTTGACGTTAATCTTGATGGGTTTCCAAAGTTTGCCTTGACCTGTCCCTATGCATGTGTGAGCCTGATGGCGAACTTTTCAAAACTGGTCCATATGGTTTCCAAATGATCAAAACTAAGGTTGTATGCTATTGCAGTGGCTTTTCAAAGTTCACCGCAAGATGCACCTATGAACAAGGGGGTGCTCGTGGTGAACCTTTGATTTGAAACTGGATAATGTCCAAATTACCCAAAACTTGTAGAGAAGCTTGGTGTTTTGTGTTGACCTTTGTTTTGTGTTAACCTGATGGAAGGATTTTGTGAAGATTGGATGCAATTTAAAGAGGAGTTTAAATCGCACCGCGAGCCACATGTATTCTAGCTGTGAGCTTGTGCTGAATTTTCATATTAAGCTTTAATAACTATGGAATTGGGAGTACAATTTATGAATATGCCTGTATAAGACCTAAAGAGGCCATGGTATGAATTTCATGATGTTTGGTTTCACATTTATATGATTTCCAAAAGTTCACCGTGAGCTCTATGCCTTGGTCCACACGTTTGTGGCGAACTATTGAGTTCTTGATTCCTAAACTCTAAATTGACAAGGGTTTGTTCAAGAATGATGTAGAAATCCTTAGTGAATATGCTTAGAACTTATTTGATGAAATATGAACGAAGCCTAAATTAATGAAACTAGGGCAAGCATGAAACGCCTTTCCTTTTTGAAAGTTCAAATTCAAGATTCCATCATGATTTGGATAGACTTCACATGGGGCGATCCTAAAAATAAAGGAAAGTGATTGTATATGATTTCCCTGAAGAATATTTCCATTTTTATGAGAAACTCAAGATTGGATAAAAAATTATGCGAAGACTCTATGAACTTGAACAGGTTTTGGTAAATAAAAGCCTAATCTTCAAAGTTCCTGCAATATAAAGCATGATTCGTGGTGCAACCGGTGTCATTATATCGATATCTTGATGGTTAATCAAGTTCATAACTTTTCAAGAGCCATATGCTTTCCATATGAGAGCGATTTTAAGGTTATTAACATGATTCTCAGTTTGGGTTGACCTCGAACTTTCCAAATTCAGATAAGTTATGATGAAAATCTAGGATTTCATGTTCGAAAATGAATGAAATATCTGGAAATTGATTTTCTCATGTCCCTTGAATGTAGAAGACTTTAGAAGCAGAAGATTTGGAGAAGAAAAGTCTCCAAATTTGATAAAGATTCTTCCTTGTTCAATGAGACTTAGTGATGCAGATCAAAATTTGGTGGTTACAAATTTTAATTTTATTTTTTGTTAATTTTATTTTTATAGATGTGGGTAGACTTGTTTATTTTTTATTAGAGTTAATTGTTTTTTAGAAATAGGATTAGTATGATTTTTTTTTAGTTTCGTTGATAAAGTTTGTTTTTTATAAGTTGGCTTAGGAAGGTCGAGTTCTATTTCGCGGTTCGTATTTTCTTAGGAAAGCAAATAAGAGAAGAGATTGTTTTTGGTAGGAGTGGGGATAGGAGGTCACGTTTAGGAAAGTTTATCTATTGTAGTAGTTTGGGGTACATGGTGTTTGTCTTTAGTTATTAGGATATATATTTTCTTTGTTATCTTTTTTTAGTAGTTATCTTTAGAGTTGTGAATGTAAACCTTATAAAAAGAGCACGTAAATTGTAATTAGGAGATTGAATTTTATGAATGAAAAAAAAGGTGATCTTTAAGATCGTGGAGAGTGAGAGGCCCCTTTGTGGGTGTTGTTTCTTCTCTTGAGTTTGGTCTGTGTCGGACTACTTGGATCCGCGCGTTTTATTCTTTCTTCTTGTGATTACCTTCTTGTTTTTATTTCTCTCTCTAGAACGAGGTTAATTTGTCTGGTGGTATTCATCGATAAATTTTATAATGCGTCAGGTGGTATTAGAGCGTAGCCGATTCTTATAGATTGTGGTATTCGTCGATTGGCATCATGGCTCGTAGACAAGATCTATGGTCGGGTATCGGGACTCATCCCATCCAGCGAGAATGAAACCTCCGAGCTCTCCGAGAGATGGAGAATAAAAGTTTGAGAAGGCAGTTAGAAGAGTTGACCTTGCGCTTGGCACAAAAACTAGCTTCAACAAACTATGCTGACGGTAGTGAGTCGGATGCTATTTTTGAGAACCTGTTCCATGCCAATGCTCTGTGTCAGGAGCCTCATGGTCGAGAGAATTATCTATTTCCTCATAGTCGGGAAATTGATCTACCTAAGTTTGATGAAGAACCAATTGAAGATGAAGAATGTGTAGTTTTAGATCTTCAATTGCAATCATCGTTCTTGGATGTCACAGGTTAGCCCATCTTTGATGAAGTTCTTGTTTTTGATGAAGAACAAGATGAAAGGAAAGAAGTTATCCTAGAGGGAAAGAAGTTATCCTTGAGGCAGCAAGAATATCCAATTTCCTTATCGATGGAGAGGTGGAAAATCAAGATATTGACTTGATCCCAGAGGAGATCGAGCCTATGGAGGTGTATAACAAAGAAACAAAAGCATACATGATGCTCCAAGGTGCAGTTTGAGCAATTTCAGAAGTGCATTTGGCCGAAAAATCGACATTCGACGATTCTTTCCTCAAGGGTTTCTCAGTTTCTATGCACAATTGTTATGCCTTGATCAACACAGTAACCCACAGGTCACACGATCGTATTTGTATTGTTCGAGTTGAAGATCGGGTTGAAAAAGGATGCGAGAAAAATTTGATCCTATCGCATTTTAAAACTCGAGGACGAGTTTTCTCCAACTAAGGGAGAATGATGCAGATCAAAATCTGACGGTTACAAATTTTAATTTTATTTTTTTGTTAATTTTATTTTTAGAGATGTGGGTAGAATTTTTTATTTTTTTATTAGAGTTAATTGTTTTTAGAAATAGGATTAGTATGAGTTTTTTTTTGGTTTAGTTGATAAAGTTTGTTTTTTTATGAGTTCGTTTAGGAAGGTTGAGTTCTATTTTGTGGCCCATATTTTCTTAGGAAAGCATTTAAGAGATGAGATCGTTTTGGTAGGAGTGGGGATAGGAGGTCACGTTTAGGAAAGTTTATCCTTTGTATTAGTTTGGGGTACATGGTGTTTATATTTAGTTATTAGGAAATATATTTTGTTTCCTATTTTAAACGAAGTGTTATCTTTTTGTGTTGGGTTGAAACTAGAGGTCACGTAGATGGAAGTGATTTAAATTAGATTTATTTATCATTTTCAGTTTTTAGTAGGGAATATATATTAGGGTTATCTATTGTGATGCAAAACAAGTTCTTTCCTTATTTTGATAAGCGCATGGTCACGTGAGGTTGGATAAATTCTTTGAGTTTAAAAAAAAATGCAAATTGTAAAGTGTTTATAAAAGGATACGCATACATGTAAGGGGGGATTGAATTTTGATTAATAAAGAAAGGGTTTTCTTGGAGAGAGAGAGGCCCCTTTGTGGGTGTGTTTTCTTCTCTTGTGCTTATGGGCATGTGTCGGAATACTCGTATCTGTATGTTTTCGGAATACTCGTATCTGTGTATTTTGTTCTTTGTTCGTGTGATTTCTTTCATGATCTTTATTTTTCTCTCTTAAGTGCTGTTAATTTCCAGGTGGTATTTACCGGGAAGTTTACTGAGATATATTTTGTTTCCTATTTTAAAGGGAGTGTTATCCTTTTGTGTTGGGTTGAAACTAGAGGTCACGTAGATGAAAATAATCTAAAATTAGATTTAGTTATTTTAGTTATCATTTTTTGTTTTTAGTAGGGAGATATATTAGGGTTATCTTTTGTGATGCAGAATAAGTTCTTTCCTTATTTTGATAGGCACATGGTCACGTGAGGTTGGATAAGTTAATTTTTTGAAGCATTGTGTGAAGAAACTCCGGGGAGGAAAACCAGCTAGGCACCTTTTGATTATGAGCAAGATATATGGAAATTCAATGATTTCTGGTGTTGTATGTCTATACTTTTTCTTTCTTTGAAACTCGATAACTCTTTGTAACCATGTATCAAAGGTGTTCCTTTTAATATCAAGATTGGATGTAAACGAAACAAGTTGCTCACGAGCTCTTGAAACTCTTCCTGTACTCAATTTTAATATAATTTTTTATTTTATTTTTATATGATCGAGAGCAAGTTTGATCCCTAGTTATGTACTATTCTTTGGTTTTCTTTGATTTTCTTTGATTGGAGTTATATTTCCTTTTTCATACGTTAGTACACTTTTGGACAAATAGATGTAAGTTTTTAGTTTTTTTTGACCAGGAACCAACCCAACCTGCAGGGATCCAATTAACTTGGACCCAAACAGGTTCAGGTTGGGTCCTGGTCAAGCATTGAACCTTGTCGGGTCTGGTCCAAATAGGGCCCAATCCGATCCATTTACATCCCTATTAACTGCTTATTTGCATTTAGTTCTTTTTAATTTTAGAAGATGCAAATGTAAGAAGTGAGCAATTTAAATCTTTTTGAGTTGAAATTCTGATTGTGACTAATCTTCCGGGAATGTGGATTCTGTCACATAGAACTTCAAAAAAGAAATATTGTTTCCATATTTTGGTTCACAATTTATCTGATGATTGTAATATTACTGCTGTTTTCATTAGTGAAATGCAAGTATAAACTTCTAGCTAATCTAATGAGTATATGGATTGTTCCCATTTTGTACTAATGGACAAATGTCTAATTGTCTTTTAGGGAAGTAGCTAGGATATTAGCTGATGATTACAAGAAACGTGTAATCATAGTTGATACCTCAAATGAGATAGGTGGAGATGGGGATATTCCTCATGTTGGAATTGGAGGTGCTCGACGAATGCAAGTTCCAAATGCTGAAATGCAGCATAAGGTATTTAATAATAGTACTATTAAGTAGATATTTGTATTTTAATGGTATGCCATGACATGATAAAAAATTTCTTGGTTGGCTAAAACCAAAAACAGTTTATTCTTATCATTTGGAATAGGAACAGTTGAAAAACATCTGTCATATGGAATATTGTATGACCATTACTTTTATTGATCTGAAAGTTTAAGGTGGATGTATCCTATTATCAAAAGCAATTTGGGTGAGCTGTTGCCACTTAGGCAATGCTTGATTCTTTGATATGGCAAATGTTTTTGGGTTTAAATTGTTTATTGATGTCGATTCTTTGATAAGTATATTTATAGGCATATCTTTTATATATAGTTTATACATAGCCATACACACACCAATTTGCATATGGGTTGCCCCTCTTCAATGAGTGCAGAATAAGAAAAGGATGTAAATTATGCATCTATGTGCATGTGTAATTTAAGTGCAGTGGCTATGGCTCATTTTTTTGTTTACATAGTATAAGTGCTATAGTCAGTGTTCAGAGATATAATTTTTTTTCTTCCATTGTTTTAAAAATTCTGGTTTTAAGCTAACCTGTATTCTTGGTATAGGTACTGATTGAAGCAGTTGAGAATCATATGCCACAAGTAATTGTAATTGATGAAATTGGTACGAGACTTGAAGCATTGGCTGCAAGTACAATTGCACAGCGTGGAATTCAGCTCGTTGGAAGTGCTCATGGGGTGACCATTGAGAACTTGACAAAGAATCCTTCATTGGATATTCTTGTTGGAGGAATTCAGGTAATGACCAATTAATCTTTAGATGCATGTATATCATGTATCTCAAATATAGCCAAAGAAAGTGTGTCTAACACCATGGTATTAAACAAAACAAAGAGAAAATCTGTTTTTTTTTATATAACTAAGAGAAAATCTGTTCGTCAGAATCAGTTTTAGTTTCTTTAGATGTGATCTAGTCCAGTTTCCAATGATCTAGTCCATTTTCCAAAAAGCATGGAGATACATAATTTATCTTAGAAAACACTTTTTTGTGATTATTTGCAAAATAAAGATGTGCAACTTCGGTAACATCACATGACAAGCCTTCCTTTTCTAAATTTACCACTAACAAGAAAGCTTCCTTTTCTAGACTTGATGATGGCATAATGGTATGATCTACTTTCGCATAGTTCACTTTTATTTTTCAGTATGTGAAATTAGATTATACCATCTTACAAGTCTATAAAAAGGGACATCTTTTTCGATTGGTAAGTTTAGAAAAAAGGGTGCAGTTTGTATAGAGCTGAGGCTCTAGACAATCAAAGTAAAGCGCATCTTCAAATAGTGTCGAGAAATGTGGCTTCAATACTGGATATCTTTGTGATAGCCTTAAAATATATTTTTATCTTTAACTATAAAATTTAAAGCTTAAAAAAATAGTGTAGATTGAGTAGATCTATGAAAACTTGAAAATCTTGAAAATTGACGGTCCAAATATGCATTACAAGATGCACTATTTCCACAACTTGAAATCCATTTTGTTTCTCACGTCCATGCATCTTGATGTCGAGATGATCAATTTGAGGATATTTGGACATCAAAACAACCACTTCTAGTGATTTTTTTGAGGTGGGCTCTAATTTGATTGTTTAGAGCCTCAGCTCGATATAAAGTTTTTCCTTTAGAAAAAGAACACTTATTATGTAATTTTTTTTAAATGTGATAACAACCTACTTCCAGAAGCAGATTAATTTTTTACCTACCAGAAAGAAAAAGAAAACAGTGAACATTGCCATGTTTTGTATTATTTCACAAGTGTCCTTCCATTATACATTCAAAGTTCAATGAGATGAAGCAGTAGATTGTTATAAACACTCTAAGATGGTGACCTTATGCTCTATGGAAATGATACTTTGTTATCTCTAAGGCTGGTGATGTGCATATGCTTCAGATAGTTACTGAAGTTCTATTCTTTCATAAAAAGTCGTTCCTCCCCACTAAAGTGAACAAAACTTTTTTTGATGAAAATTGTAAGCTTATCTCCTGCATGATAATGACTTGCTTTTTGATTTGAGGCTACCTTTCAAAGTTGTTTATAAATATAAATATATCAGTCGAGGCAACTTCATCAAGAAGCACCTGTGAATTAGGTGGATATTTGACAGGCCTCTTTTAGGTTTCCATCAAACCAGGTCGTATTTTAGGTCATATGAGTTGGCTGGTACTCTCTTTCTCAAGTCCTTGAGTGCAAGGAAAGAAGCAACTCTTCCATGCTTGCAAGAATATGCATGTGTCATGGTAAATAGAAACTAGTAGTAAATTTATTTAGGGTGTGCTTGGTAATTCGAAGCTGGAAACATCCAGAAATTGTAATTTGTTAGCCATAATTGTGGATACTTGGTAAGGGAACATAGTGCTCGATAACCCATCTAGGATCTTTGGAATTTTGGTAACCCGTGTTTGAAGAAACCTGGAACCACAGAAACTTCGAGACCTGAAAATTGGCTAATTTTAATTGTTGATTAAAATTTTCAGCAATGAGATGGTGACATTTGTTTAGTGAATAAGATTTTAATTGTCATATGTAATCCATGTTATGTTTTACAAAATGGATAGTTCAGATCACATAAAGAATAGCCCATCCATAGTACGGCTCAAACATAAAAAAATGATCTCATGAAACTTAATAGTACAATCAATCCCTGTTGAAAACGATATGCTATGTTTGTTCTCCAAAGCTTTTTTTTTTTTTGATAATTTCTCCAAAACTAATGTTAAGAGCTGAGAAAATATGTTTTTTAATTTAGAGAGAGGTAGACTTAAGAGCTGAGAAAATGCATTTTTTAGTAGAGAGAGAGAGCGAGAGGGAGGGGGGGGGAGGGGGGGAGGGGGAGAGATTATGTAAGAGACAGATTTTGACTGGTTTGCACAACATATAGCATGAATGCGATTCAAATTCAGTTCCAAACACCCCATTTTTGTAGAAACCATTCAACTAAATAAACACTCAATTCTGATATGATTTTCACAACTGACACAATCAAAATCTAGGAGACCTCACATGGTAATGATAAATCGACAATTCAACCCACACTGGTTTCTAAACCAATTCAGAGATGCCCCCTAATACACGACAAATTAAGAGTACAACACTTTAACTAAGGCAAACAAGTATTACTTAGAAGCCATCTAAAGTCCAAACATAACATTATAGTGATTCGCAGTCATGCCACATTTGGGCTTCAATTTCCTCTCAAAATCATACAACCTTCTAATTGTCCTTGCTGTAAGTTGATTGTTGATTATGCTGACCTTGATGGTTTATCACATTTGCTACTTCTTCTAATGTCCGCTCTTGAAATTCTATCTCATCTCAAGCTCTTTTGCTCTCATCATCATGGTACAGTTTTGCAAGAAGTAGCTGTGACAATAAAGATCTTAAACTTATGTATTGAAAGGATATTGAAATTTCTTTAGAATTAGAAAATGCACTTTTGCATTCCATGGCGCAAAAGTGCATTCCACAACATTTTTCAATTTTGAATGCCAATGATTGAATGACTCTTGTGGGTCTTGTGGAGCCAGATTCATCGTTATCATCATTATCATCATCATCATCCGAGCTTATTCCAACTATTTGGGATCGGCTACACAAATCTTGTTTTGTAATTCTGCTCTATTAAGGGTGATGGAGGGAAAAATTATATTTATTTTTAATTTCTATTTAATTTTAAAGGATATATATTTTGATTTTAGTTTTAGGATTTATTTTTAGAATTTTTAGTTTTAAGAATTCTAAGGTTTTTATAGTTTTTTTTTTTTTATTTCATTGCTGGACTAGTTAGGGGATTTTTAAATATTTTAATTGAAGTTAAAGAGTTTAGTTTCAAGTTATACTTAAGTTATGACCTTTTGGTCAAAAGTTAATTATATGGACCAATATTGTCAAAAACAACAAATTTTCAATATAAATAAGGGCATGGATGGAGGCATTCATGTATTCCTTTTTAAGAAAAGAAAGACTTTGTCTTGTATAAGAAGCCTAAGGCTTGAGCCCTAGGTAGGAGAAAACCTTAGAGTTTTCCTAAAATTGCTTGTATTTGGCTTGTTTCTTGCTAGTTTTATTGTTCTCCCAATTTCCCTTGCAACAAGTGGTATCAGAGCTCGTGATCTACACAGAAGTTACTGTAGCAAGTACGGAAGTTAATGTAGCACATACGGATTTGCTGTAGCGCTACTTTTTTTGGTGCCCTAGGTCAACAACAAAGAGGGAAAATTATAGTGGGGTCTAGGGTTTACTGATTTAAGCTTAAATTTTGTCAAAACAACATAGATCTCGCAGATTTCAACAATTTTTGTTGATTATTTGCCTAGGGTTTGTGATTTTGGCAAATTCATGGCAGCGAGAAGGGGCTGTAGAAGGGGATTTTTGTTGATTCGTTTTGTGATCCCATAAATGACATAATTGAAGAAATTAAAATGCAAGTTCAGCAGCTGACGTAGCAGTTTGCGAGCCTCAATAATGGGCAAGACGGTGATCTTTCAGCCCTAGAGGATCTTGAGTACAACCCTTTTCACTTTTACGTTCCGCATGTGGAGTCGGGTGATGAAGATAGTGACAGAAGACCTAGTTGTGGGGACCTAGATGTGGGGAACATCACTCTAGGGTTTTTGATTTGAAGGATGATATTTTTTATTTTGAAACAAATTGCATAGAAAGTCAACAATTGTTGATTGGAATTCACCACCAATCTTCGACATATACTCAGATGAACAACACAATTTCTTAGGAGATCTGATCCATGATAAGGATCAAGATGTTGGTGAAAATATTTTGGAAGAAGGGGAAGAATATAGAGAGATGACAGGAGGAGGACTGATCAAAATTGTGCACTTTAAAGATCTCATCAATATTGAAGAGGTGGAGCGTTCAACAAATTTAGGGCATTGGAATCAGAGTAGTGCAGTGGAAGTGTGGTCGTCTCAATCGCAAATTATGACCTTGTTTTCAGAAAGTGATCAAATAGATATTGAGAAAACCTCTGAAGGCCAAAAAATTGAGTTCAAAGTATCTTACATGATTTTTAATGGGACTTCATGAATAACTGAATTTGATCAATTTGCATGGATTCCTCTATGCATATCAGAATCCATTTCTTGAGGAATTTTTTTTATTTCGAATAATATTTAAGCTAATAAAGAAAAAGAAGGTTAAAGAAGGTGGTTTTGATGCTGAATTCATCTTAGCACACTTCAAAACTTGAGGACGCGTTTTCTCCAACAAGGGAAAAATGATGGAGGAAAAAATTATATTTATTTTTTATTCTATTCAATTTTAAAAGATGTATATTTTGATTTTAGTTTTAGGATTTGTTTTTAGGATTTTTAGTTTTTCAGAATTCTAGGGATTTTATAGTTTCTTTTATTTATTTCATTGTTGGACCAGTTAGGGATGTTTTGGATATTTTAATTGAAGTTAGGGAGTTTAGTTTCAAGTTATATTTAAGTTATGACTTTTTGGTTAAAAGTTAATTGTTTGGACAAATATTGTCTAAAATAATTATTTTTCAATATAAATAAGGGCATGAATGGGTTGGAAAGTCATTCATGTAATCCTCTTTAAGAAAAGAAAGACTTTGTCTTCTAAAAGAAGCCTAAGGTTTATGCCCTAGGTGGGAGAAAACCTTAGCGTTTCTCCAAAATTACTTGTGTGTGACTTGTTTCTTGTTAATTTTGTTGTTCTTTCAATTTCCCTTGCATCAAAGGGCCATACCTCAGTCAGATCATAAGTCCTAATATCT